GGGCGCCCCAGGGCAGCTGTGTCCCTGGACAGGCCTGGTCTCCGGCCATGCTGACCGAGGCCGACAAGGACCTGGTGGTGTGCCCACGCGGGAGACCAGGCCATCCGCTCAGCCTCTGCGGCGCAGGAGTGCACCCTCGCCAGCTCCTCCAGGCCTGGGCGAGCACTCGGGTTGCCGGCCCATCCCTCCTGCATCCTCACTGTGTCCCACAGGACCGTGCTCCCAGCTGTCCACTCCGGCCGCCCGCACCTGAGCTGGCCATGGTCTCCTTGTCGCCAGACCACGGGGCGCTCCTGGTGGCTCTGTCAGCCTGTCACTGCCTCCTCGAAACGTGCTTCGCGCGGACTTCCAGGCCGGCCCGTTCTGGGCCCCCTCGGTCCTCCATGCCAGTGTCCCTCATCTCTCTGCCTCTACAATGGAATGTTCTAGATCCAGCTCTCCAACCTTTCTGCCTGCACCTATTCCCTGGTGACTGGGGACAGGAGTGTCACTGCTGACCGTGCACAGCTCAGACCCGGCTGGCCCCAAGCCATGCGTGCCACCCTGGCTCTGCCTGCTTCTAGGTGTCTGTGAGGCACCCCAGACTTCAGACGGAAGCCGATCGCCCCGCAAACCTCTCCCCCTACAGGACAGGACAAGCCCCTTGAACTAAAACCCTGCAGTGGCCTGCACCTGTTTTTCACTCACACCCTACGTCCAGCTGTGGGCACACTCCCCGACCCTCGCTTCAGGACAGACCTGGAGTGGACCCCTCCTTCCAAGGTCTGAGCCTCCGCACTCCTCGCCCCGGGTGGGCAGTATTCCCTGCTGAGCCGCGTCCCCACGACTGCAGCAGAGTGTCCGTACAGTGCGCCGGCCCCATGCCTCCTCTTCTCAGACCTTCCAGGTTAGAGCAGAACCCGGGAACCTCTAGGCAGGCCAGCTGACACTTCTGGGCACCCAGAGCAAAATGAAAATGGAGGGCCCGTGTTCGAAAAGCAGAGTATGTTTTTCAAGCTGCCAGGGCCAGGATTCCAACCACAGTTGGCCACGTAAGAGCGGGCTCCCTTAACCACCCTAGAACATCACAGTGGCCATAGCGAAGCAGGCCTCGTGGCCACAGCTGACCCCAGCAGTGGCGGGGCCTCACTTTCAAGTCCTACTCCCAGGGGCCAGCAGGTAGCTTAGTGGTTGAAGCGTGAGACTCCCACATGGCCAACTGTGGTTCGAGTCCCAGACTTGGTGGCTTGCTTTCTTACTTCCCCCCTCTCTCTTTGGTGAGCACACATGCCCTATAGTAAAAAAAAAAAAAAAAAAAATTAATGAATAAATAATAAAATTAAATAAATAATAATTTTCCCCCAAGGCCTTTGTCATAGGGCACGAGCACTTATCCAAGAGAGAGTGAAACAGTGAGGGAAAGTGAGAGAACCTGACAGGAGGCTGGCCACACCACAATCCATGCCTTCACCCCTATTCCCCTTGCAGAATCCCCTGCCTGGTGTGAGTCTCAAGTCGCTAGCTCCAGGACTTGAACTGCTGTCAGCCATGTGGCAGTCTGCCCCAACCACCATGCCACCTGCTGGCTCCAAAATTAAATACACACACACACACAGCCCCAAAAAAAAAAACACACACACACACACACACACACACACACACACATACACACACACATATATATGTATGCTTTCTCGCTTTCTCTGGTCAAGAGGGACAGAGTAAGCGAGAGCAAGAGAGAAGGAAAGCGAGCAAGCAAGCCACCAGGTCTGCCATGTGGGAGTCCAGCTCCCCTGAGCACCACGCCACCTGCCGGCCTGAAAATAAACAATTCTTTGACAAATCTACCGCCTGCTGTCTTCAACCGCCTGGCTCCAGCCCCGCTGGCCCTCACTGTCCTTCCGAAATGCTGGGCTCACGGCTGTGGCCATTTGCACGACATTGCCTCTGCCGTCCCCCGACCCGACCGCGTGGCTCGCTCCTCCTGCCTTGCCATTGTGCTCAGATGTCACGTTCTCAGTGGCCCGCCTGTGTGAAATCGTGCTCTGTCCTCCACCCGCCCTCTGCCCTGCCATGCTGGGAGCACAGGTGCCCCTGGCAGGCTGTGTTTAGGGTCTCCTCTCCCCTGGAGCCAAGCACCGTGGTGGCAAGTTCTGTCCACACTGGACCAGGACCGGGCGTGTGGCAGCTGCTGAAGGGGTATTGTTTGTTTGAACGAATGACTACTGAGTAGGAAAAAGTACCCCATTTGCCTTTGAGTATCAGTGAAAGGAGTATCACTTCGTTTTCTTTGCAATTCTTATTTATGATCTTTTCACTCATGGGGCGACCATTCGATGTCGGGTGTCGACTTGAACTTGGCTTTGATAGGTAGAGGTCAGGGCGCTAGCGAGGCAGCCAGGTAGTCCTAAACTCAGTCCCGGAGCCTGGTCTGTGACTGGCGGTGCCCGTCAGGGGTCCCTGGACCTCACAGAGCACAGCCCTGCCCTCCCTCTGCTGCGTCCCAGATGGCCCTGCTTCCCAGCACTGTGCCAACACTCTGTGAACGTGGCATGTGTGCGTGGGTGTGTGGGCGTGAGCGTGTAAATATTTGTGTCTTTGTTTCTCAGGCGTACGGTGAAGGTTCTGGTGCCGACTGTAGACGCCACGTCCAGAAATTAAACCTACTACAGGGAGAGGTCGCAGAGATGTCGTTCAGGTATGATTACTTTGGGGCCTGCCATTGTGTCCCGTTGTTCTGTTTTTAAATAAGGATTACTTTGATTCTTACTTAATCAGTTTGCAGTAGGGCACATGTGCTCACCAGAGAGAGATGAGGTTGGAGGTATGGGGTGCAGTGAGAAAGCAAGCCACCAGGTCCAGGACCCAAACCACAGTCGGCCAAAATAAATAAAAATAAAAATAAGGATTACTTCGTTACTTACTTAATCAGTTTGCAATAGGGCACATGTGCTCACCAGAGAGAGATGAGGTTGGAGGTATGGGGTGCAGTGAGAAAGCAAGCCACCAGGTCCAGGACCCAAACCACAGTCGGCCATGTGGGAGTCCAGCACCTTAACCACCATGCCACCTGCGGGCCCCCACTTGCCATTTTCATCTTGATTAGAGTGGCAGTATACAATGGAAAAACTCGTTAAACCTCTGAGTCTTACAGAATGGTGAGTTAAGCACCCTGAGTAGTCCTTTTCCTGGAAATAACCGAAGATGGTGACTACACTCTTCTCTATGTACAATGAGCTGGCAAGGAAGGAAGGGGTTCTCTGAGCCTGAGATTGAAGTAAAAGCAGAATCCTAAGTGAATGCGCCGGAACTGCTGCGGGATTGAGCCTGGTGCTCTGGAGCCTTGGCTAAGACACCAGGGAGGGGGCAGGGGCCTGGAGACGAAGCCCTGGGCCTGGTCAGGGTAACAGGTCAGCGGGGACCGCCTCAGGAGCTCAGTGCCCAGGACCACACCCTCAGTGTACCAAGGAGTGGAAGTACCCCCATTCCGCGAGAGGGAGCCTGTGGGCGTTGGCCTCAGCACAGCCCGAAGAAGAAGAGATAGCGCTCCTAGGCTTGGGAGACGCAGAGAAGCCACGCGGTTTCCAGCCTGCTCCATGCGATGTGAGAAAAGCCTCAAGCTGAGAACTTATTTTTCAGTTGTTCCAGGAAACAGAAGTAAATACAGCTTATCTCTGGAGCAACATGTTTTCAAGTTGGGCCTCAAAGAATTCCCATGAATTAAGTTCTGGGTGGCATATACTCAGAATTAAGTCATAAATACTTACACACTGAAGGAAATATGCCACCATGAGCAAAAGACAGCAGAAACAGCAGAAAAGCAGGACCAACAAAGGGCTTCAGAGTATAACATTGTGTGTTTAACGTAGTTAGCAAAACCTAGGAGCCTGATGCTTCAGAGTATAACATTGTGTGTTTAACGTAGTTAGCAAAACCTAGGGGGCTGATGCTGTGATGGACTTTTCTTTTTTTTAAATTTACATGTGTTCACCAGAGAGAGAGGGGAAGTGAAAGAAATACCCTCTATGGGGAATAGTCACACTGCAATCCCTTCTCCCCCATCTCTCCCTCCTTTTGGGAGTTTAGGCACACGCACACACATGCACCCAGCATGTTTCTCAGGCTGCCAGGTCTGGAACTCAAACCACACAGTAGGCCATATGGAATCTGGCCACTGTAGCCACTATGCCATGGGCTGGCCCATATGATGGACATTTTAAAAATAGCTGGGTATGTCTAAAATAGAGTTTGTCAAAAGTATAATCATTGAAATGAACAATTCAGTGGACAGGTATCACAGATTAAATGCAGCACAAGAGAGAATTACTGAAAGGGAAGATTATCTGAAGAAATTCACAGTACAACACAGGAATATTAAGAGGTACAAAGTGTGCGGATAAGCCGAGAGGCATGGAAGGTTCAGAGAGGCCCAGTGAGAGGAGCTGAAGAGAGTGGGCAGGCTGTGTGAATGAGCAAGATTGGAGCACTCTCCTGTCAAAGACTGAACAATCGGGTTCAGGAAACACAGTGGAACCCAAACCAAATAAACCACCGTTTGATTTGCAAACAGCACGACTGCGTGTAGGAAACCCTAACAAATCTGGAAGGAGGCTACTGGAACTACAAGGCAATGCAGCGAGATCTAACGCGGACGAGGGCGACATACAGAACTGGATTGGACTTTCACAGTACAGAGAGCAGTCAGAAAAAGGGTTTGAAACTCAGATACCACTTAAAAGAGAATCAAAAGTGAAATTCTTGGTAACCAGCAGTTAGCGTAATGGCTATGTTGCTGGACTCCCACATAGCCGACCGCGGTTCACATCCCAGACCCAGTGGCTTAAACTTACACTGGGCGCGTGTGCGTGTGTGCCCAAGATCCCGAGGGGAGAATGGAAGAGAAGGGATTGCGGTGTGACCATCCCCCCTGGGGGGTGATTTCTCGCTTTCTGTCTCTTCGTGTCTCTCTTTCTTTTGTTATGTCTCTCTGTCTGTCTGGCAAGCGCACGCGCCCTATAGCGAAAACCTCTCAAAAAAAATTTAAAAAATAAAAAATAAATGAAATTCTTACGGATAAATGCAACAAAAATGCAAGAACTGCTCATAAAAATTACAGAACTTCAGAGAAATTGAATATTTAAATTAAGAGAACATGTTCGTGTGTTGGAAAAATCAGTGTTATTAAGATGGTTATTCATCTTTAAGTGATCACTAGAGTCAACGTAATGTCAATCAAAATCCCAGCAGGCTTTTTGGGAGACTTTTGCCTTAGGGCGTGTGCACTGGCTAGAGAGAGGCAGAGACAGGCAGTGAGGAATCTCCCCAAAGGCACGACCACACCGGCTAGAGAGAGGCAGAGACAGGCAGTGAGGAATCTCCCCAGGGCGCGACCACACCGCGGTCTCTCCTCCACAGTCCTGGGACCTCAGGCACGCATGCACACGTACCCAGCATTGACTTCCTTTTTTCTTTTTTTATTTGACCAGAGAGAAACACAGAGGGAACGGAAAGTGAGAGTTCAGCAATGTAACTACCATGCCATCTGCTGGGCCCTGGCTTTTTTTTTTTTTTTTTAAGAAATCAACAAGCTAATCCTAAAATGTATGTATTATAGTAACACAGGCTAGCAGGTGGCATGGCGGTGAAAGCACTGGACTCTCACACACAGTGACTGCGGTTTGAGTCCCGGACCTGGCGGCTTGCTTTCTCTCTTTCTCTCTCTCTCACTCTGTCTCTGCTAAAAATTGAAAAGCAGTAATAATAGAGACCAGCAATGTCTATGTCGCTGAACTCCCACGTAGTCGACCGTGGTTCGAATCCTGGACCCGGTGACTTAAACTCAACGCTGGGCGCGTGTGCGTGCGTGCCCAAGATCCCGAGAGGAGAATGGAGGAGAAGGGATTGCGGCGTGACCATCCCCCCTGGGGGGTGATTTCTCGCTTTCTGTCTCTCTGTCTTCCTAGCAAGCACACATGCCCTATAGCAAAAATCTCTCAAAAAAAAGAAGAAAAACAATAATAAATAAAATTAAATAATTCTTAAAAATTATTTTTTAAAAAAGAAACGCAGATGGGAACCAGCAGTTAGCGTAATGGCTATGTCGCTGGACTCCCACGTAGTCGACCGTGGTTCACATCCCGGACCCGGTGGCTTAAAACTCATGCCGGGCGCATGTGCGTGCGTGCCCAAGATCCTGAGAGGAGAATGGAGGAGAAGGGATTGCGGCGTGACCATCCCCCCTGGGGGGTGATTTCTCGCTTTCTGTCTCTATGTCTCTCTCTGTCTGTCTGGCGAGCGCACGCGCCCTACAGTGAAAATCTCTCCAAAAAAAAAAAAAAAGAAAGAAAAAAAAAAAAAGAAACGCAGAGACGAGATTTGCCAGCACGGTTTCGACGGAGGCTTCTGCAGCCCGACCTGTGCACGCCTCATGGCAGTGGCTTCGCGGGAAGGGCAGAAAAGCTGGCCGAGGCCCACGGGTCCCTCGAGATCAAACTCAGAAGATGCTGTCTCCGAAAGGCGGGGCTAGCACAGCTGTGAAGACGCACGGCCTGTCACGGGGCCACGCCGTGGCTGCGGGGAGGGACGTGCTGGGAGGCTGGCACGGTGCTCTCAGGCCAGCCCCCGGACGGGCACGTGCACAGGGCCACCGTGCGGTCACCCAGGGTGTGGGCACAGACACAGCCACACACAGCCAGGGCCGGGGTGTGGTGAAGGCCGCCCTCTGCCCTTGTCGTGCTTCCTGTTTTCATAAAGATTTCTTTGTCTCTCCACGAGTGAGAGTGGAGAGACAGCACCCCCAACGGCCTCAGCCAGCTCTGGGTCAGGGCTGTGCCCAGCACACGGGAGTCTCTGAACTCAAGCCCAGAACCTTCTGTGTGCGTCAGTCCTGCAGGGTGTCACAGCTCACTGTCATCTGGTCATCCCACCCCATTTCCTGTTGAGCGGGCCTTACCAGCCCGTCTGGTAAAGGTGGGAGGTCCCTAAGGCCCAGCCCCTGTGCTCTGTGCTGTCACACCCCTGCATCCCTCAGCCTTCATCTTCCCGGTCACCGTGCACATGACACGTGCGATCTTCCCCCGAGGTCTCCGGAAGCGCCCGTCGGTGCCAGCGAGGAAGAAGGCACAGGCTCTCTGCAGGCAGGTGCACGTTTGCAGGTCAGCAGACCCTCTGTCCCCACCCCGGGCTGGGCTAACGCGAGGGGCTCCACTCCTCAGCTGTGTGACCAACAAATGCGACTGTCCACCGAGCGGCAGGCTCTTGGCTTAAAGCCACAAGGAAACAAAAGTGGGCCCGTCCCTCATAAGGGGGCTCACCCCGCAGAACGCTGGGGTGCCCCGTGAGGACGGCTCCTTTCTGCGGGGAGAAGCCTAATGAGCAGGGCTCGGCCTTTGTGCCCTGTGCGCTCTGCCCCGGGAGGGTGCCAATGCAAAGTGCCCACGCGCCCCTGCTGCAGGCTGCCAGTGCTCTAGCCGGGACCCCCAGGGGCCCGTGTGTGGAACCGGGAAAAGGCTGGAGCAGGCCGGGTGGGCAGAGCGAGCGGGAGCGAGCATGCTAGGGGCCGTCGGCACATCCCACTGCCCCGGGCACAGCAGCGTGTCCTGCAGGGTAGTGCCGCCGCGGCTCACGGTCTGCCCACAACACCCTCAGCTCTCGGTCTCGTGACTGCCGTGAACAGGGCGCCGACGGCAGCTGCCCCGTGTCTTGTGTCCCTGCTTCTGGCCCCTCAGCGGGCCAGACTGGGAATCACTCCTGTTGTAAGAAACACTCTGCGTCCTCAGGCTTCTGCTTATATTGCTCTCTGTCACTCTATGGTTTCCTCGTAGTTTAAAAGTAACTGTGGAGGCCCAGCCGGGTGGCATGGTGGTTAAGGTAGCAAGATCCCACCTGGCTGTGCGGTCAAGTTCTGAATCCAGTGGCTTAAAAAACACCAGGCACGGGGGACCAGCAGTTAGCGTAATGGCTGTGTCGCTGGACTCCCATGTAGTCGACCGCAGTTCAAGTCCTGGACCCAGTGGCTTAAAACTCACGCCGGGCACGTGTGCGTGTGCGCCCAAGATCCCGAGAGGAGAACAGAGGAGAAGGGATTGTGGTGTGACCGTCCCCCCTGGGGGTGATTTATTGCTCTCTGTCTCTGTCTTTCTGGTGAGTGCACGGGCCCTGTAGCAAAAAACTCTCAAAAAAAAAAAAAAAAAAGCATCAGGCGCGTGTGCATGTGTGTCCAGAGCCCCGAGAGGAGGACGGAGGGGTAACATGTGGCCATCCCCGAGGGGTGCTCTCCCCGCCTCTGGTTAGCACGGACATCGCTCCGCTCCTGGGGCAGGCAGGTGGCACCCCCTTCTGGTGTGGGTGGCGTTCGCTGTCACCCTGAGCGCCGTGAGGAGCGCTGGGATCGCTGACTCTCCAGCAGTCATGCTGGGGGCGGGCTCCGCCGAGCGAGGCCCCACTGCTGTCTGAGTGCCCGCGTCCCCAGATCGCCTTTCCTGGTGACGAGGTAGCCACGGAGCCCAAGACCTAGGGTGAGTTGGGCTGGTGGGCCAGCGGTGGCGTGGTGGTGTAGACAGCTGGATCCCACACAGCCGACTACATGGTTCAGTTCCCAAGCCTCACAGCTCGAGGAGCACGCCGGGCATGTGTGAGTGCGCACCCACAATCCCAAAAGGAGAGAGTGGGGTGGCCGTGCCCCATGGGGCGCGTCCTCTCACTCTGGCAGGCACACCGCTAGCGACCGCCTTTAGAAAAAAGACGGGGCTGGGGCTTCCCGCGGACGTCTGTGTCGCAGCTCAGAACCAGCCTCTCCCTTTCCTGCAGGAGACGCGGCCGCCCCCAGAGAGCCGCTGGCTGAAGTACCTGGAAGACGACTGTGGGCAGGGGCTGGACGGAGCGTGCTCCCCCAGACAGCCGTCGCCCAGCACGGGGAAGCCGGGCCCCGCCTTCCATCAAAACCTGCCTAGAAAAAGGTGCTCCCGCCCGCGGCCTTAGCCCCGCCTGTGTCCGGCACCCGCCCTGACCCCGGAGGACGGTGGCTGATGAGCCCCTTGGTGCCATGTGGCGGACAGCCCGCCTGGGCCAGGGGGAGGACTGGGCAGGTGCCAGTGTGGGCACCCTGGACGAGGCTCTCGGGGAAGGACATACGGGCAGGACTGGCAGAGCAGCCAGCACCCGTGGGCCCGGGCCTGCAGCCGCAGCAGCGAGAGCTGGTCTGTCCGGCGTTTGCCCCCCCGCCCCCGTGCTTCTCAGTGAGCTGTGCAGACGCCGCCCGGGGGAGCCAGGGCCGTGGACAGCCTGTCCCTGGAGGCCAGGCTGGAGCCGAGTAGCCCCCAGTGCTGTAAGGGATTAGTGCGTCCCCTGGCTGGGGGGTGGGGGCCGTTTGGTGAAGGGCTGTTGACGTGTTCCCTCTGCCAGGAAGCGGGGCCAGAGCACGCCTTCTGCACGTGGCCATGAAGCCCAGGACGGCGGTGACGCGGAGGTCGCCTGGGCACCCCAGGTTGGTGGCGAGGGCCGTGGCCACTGGATGCGGGTCCGTTAGCGTTTTGTCAGCAGCGAAGGCGTAGGGGGCTTATACCCAAGGCCGCTCTCTGAAGTCAGCTCCCTTCCCCGCTCACACCCAGCTCCACCCTCTCCCCTGCTGCGAACTCATGCAGACTCAGGGCAGGGTGGCCCCATGCGTTTCCAAGGAAGCACTTCCTGCCGTCCTTGTCCCAGGCCGGGTCCCTGTGCTGAGGCCAAGGCCGGCCCTTGACCCTGCCGTGTCAATGCCAAGCACAGTGTGGGGGCGTCTCCAGCACAGGCATGGCGCCACCCCGCTAGCGAGGCCCCCTAGGCCCATGTGCTGAGCGGCACCGAAGCCGTGGCCGGGACCAGCCTGTGTCCCAGCACGTGGGTCACCCCCAAGTACAGCCAGCCCTAGGGACGCTGTCCTCTGGCTGGGACCGAGCAGGTGGTGGCAGCCACAACCTGTGGAGTCCCAGGCCTTCCTGCGCACCCTCTCTTCAGACGTCCCTGACCCACTCTCAGCTTCCAGGGATGAGTCCCTTGTCTTTTCTAGAAAGCCTGGTCGTGGAATGTGTGGGCAATCTGGGTTGAGGTCCCTTACTGGCGTGGCTCTGCTAAGCCACAGAATCAGAGGTGGACCAGGCTGTGACCCGGTGGTCCAGGTGGCCGGAACCGCACGGTTCGAATCCCAGAGCTGCAGCTTGAGAACTATGTCAGGTGCATATGTGTGCGTGCCACAACCCTGGGGGAGATGGAGGAGCTGGGGCTGTGGCGCGGCCATTCCCAGTGGGAGGTGCTCTCTCGCTCTCTCTCTCGCTCTCTCTCTCTCTGGGGAGCGCACCTGCCCTCTGGCAAAAGGGAAGGGTCCAAGGCCGTCCCCAGCACGAGCTGGCACGTCCTCACCCTCAGGACCAGCAGAGCCAGTGGCAGGCAGCGGCAGCGGGCCCAGCCCCTCAGCGGGCACGGTGCCCTCACCTTCCCTTCCAGGGCTGTGCGGGCCTGACTGTGATGGGGCTGCAGGGCAGCAGCCCCTGCCTCCGGGACTCTGCAGGTCACAGCCCCCAGGGCTCTGCGGTCCTCAGGGCGGCCCTGTGCATCCTGCCCAGCAGTAAGGCCACAGCTTTTCAACAGGCCCCGCCGCTGCCACCTGGCAACAGCCCACATGTGGACAGAGAGCGAAGACCATCGCCAAGGGGTCTCCAGCCAGCCAGCCCTGCACTGCCCGAGCAAAGCACCCCTGGGGCCTGGGGCCCGAGAGAAGGCCACCTCAGCAGGCCCCCTGCTGTCCAGCTTCCCGGAGCAGAGGGCACGCCCTTAGTCCAGGGGGCACCGAGGCCCCCATCTGTACGGCTATGTGACCTTTTTACAACTGGGGAGGACTTTGATGATGACCTGTGAACTGAGATCATCCGAGAGCCCTCTGTGCTGCTCAAAACAGGGCGCCTGCGGTGCGTTTAAAGGGGGATGGTCTACAGGAACCGCCCGCAGCTGACAGTAAACCATACCGGCAAGCCTGCAGCGCCCAGTAACGTGTTGTGTAGAGGGGCCACAGCCCACACGGCCAACCACGGTTCAAAGCCCAGCCTCACCAGCTGGGACTCACGTGTGTGAGGGCCCAGGGCCCGGACGGGACAGGAGTGCGGCGTGACCAGGCGCCCGGGTGCTCTCTCTCTGGTTCAGGCACACCCTCTGGCTTTTTGAAAATTATTTGCCACTGGGTTCATGTACTCAGAGGAAGAAGTGCAGACACTCCCCAAGGGAGAGGGCCGCATTGCAACCTGTTCTCCCCCAGGACTTCGAGCACACATGCACACGTGCCCAGTGTGTTTTACAAGTCAATGGGTCTGGGATTGAAACCATGCAGCCAGCTTGTGGAATCCACTGTAAGCTCGAGCCACGTTTGGTCCCCACCTCGCGTTCACACAGACCTGGTCGCCGAGCAGTGGTTTTTCTCATTGCGACAGGACGACAGTGCTGACTAAAGTGCAGATATGTTTAATCACAGGTGGCTCACAGACGGCAGGGCGGCTGCGGAGGCCTGCCTGCGGAGGCCTGCCTGCGGGAACAGCTGAGGCGTTGGCAGCAGAGTGCGGCGGTGGTTAGGGAGCAAGGCGGGGCTCCCGCTCTGCTCCAGGACAGCCCTCCAGCATGCCGACACCACCCTGCCATGCTGGCTGAACTCGGTCAGGTTTCTAGTGGGGATCAATCAATGTCAGCGTACTATTAGTAACTTAAAAAAAGAAAAAGCAGAAGGCCACCAGGCAGGACACATTCTGGTGTCCCGGTGGGGACAGGAGTGGGCGGGCAGAGCCTGTTCTGCTGTGGGGAATCCTCAGGAGCCTTGGGCCCAGCCTGGCTGCAAGGAGCCAGAGCCCCAGAGGGAAGCTGGTGTTTCTCAGAACCGTGCTTGGAACTGTCCCCTCACAACGCTGGTTCTGCTGCCCCGGGTGACGCCCTGCCCCTGCGGCCTGGAA